TCTCGAGTTACGGGACAAAACCTTGGACAATACCTGAATATTTAAATAAACTGGAGGCAAAACTGTTGAAACGGCAGAACACGGTGACAACACTGCGTCACGAGGCGGTACAATTGCGAGTTCGCGGTAATAGGATGTTTAGAGGATGTTATGGAGCAGTTATAAGGCCGTTAACACGTTAATGGACTGTTACCTAAGCGTTAAGCGACTGGTACCGTGAAAATCCTTTTTATGTGACCTTTCAAACCCCCGTTTGAACCTCGTTTATCGGACGGTACCCAAGCGGTACACTCTCGTTCGCAGCCCGTCACTGATAGAGTCAACGTCCACCATCGTCCCATTACCGCTCTGCGAACGTGTCCTTAACGGCCGCACCGTCCTTATACCATTCCCATACCGCTATCACCGTTCGCAACCGAACGTTACTCAAACGGGAAAAGATTTGAGCATGCTCAAAAAATTCGCCGGGTGTGGATGGACGGCAACGTTCCCTGAACGTTTCTCAACGGGCGGGAAACGACCCACCGTGTGGCCATACCGTGCACCGCCGTCTGGCCATAATTAGCCACACGGTGGCGAACGGTGAGCCTACACGGCTAGTGTGACCGCTACTTAAATAGCAGCAGCGTTGGTTTAGCAGCATATCGCGTTTGACTACTGGGAACTTATTTCAAGTGGGAAGTGTTTAAGAGTAAACTGAACTGAACTTTAACAAAAGTCCTTCAAGGATTAAAGAAGAAATGTTTTAAATCTAAAGTGCTTCTATTAATGTAATATGACATTAAGAATGAATAACATTACAATATTTTCTTTAATAATCTCTCATATCATTTCAATCAAACATATCACAATTTAATCGTTGCATTTCCATTACTTGGAACCGATTTACGTTCAAATTGCTTTAACAATGTCAAATAACATTTACAGCAAAGTAATAATCATGACGCATGACAAATTTTTGCACTGCTGTGCGCGCATCAACTTTTTGTATAATATCATGACGAGTGCAACATTTTACAAGCTGCGCAGAAAATTCACAGATAATTTATTGAATTGCTTGACGTGAAAACACTAGGTATATACTATATTTGAATAAAGGTCTCAGTAAAAGTCTATTTGTATTAACATTTAATGAAAAACAAAAATCGCATAATTCACCTTTTTAAAATCCAAAATCACAAACTTTGAGCGCTTAATCTAGGAATTTACAATGCAAAAAAGTGCATTTCTCCACGTATTTATAGCCAAATTCTGGTCCCGCTCCGACACCTCTATACCAACGCCAAAGCAAAGTTCATCGCCGCCATGGAACGCTGCGACAACGTCCGACACCGTTCCAACAACCCCATGTACGCTGATAAAACGCTAACAACCGCTCCACCGACGTTTGTGCAACGTTTAATCGCCGCCCGGGCAACGCTGGCGAAGCAGCGGTGGTCCAGCGTTTAAGATTTCTGCGTTGGTCTAGCGGATTCAAGCGTCCACGAACTTGCGTCTAGCGGTGCCAAACTTTGACTGGGCGTTGGTGGAGCGGTGATAAACTTTGCCAGGGCGTAAAACTGTCCCCTTTTCAACGCTCGCAATATTTTGAGCAGCTCAAAACTTTTGGAGCGTTAGGATGGCCACTCGAGAAACATACGCGTTGGCCGAGCGTTTACAGCGTTGCTTTAACGGATGCCAACTTTTGTTAAACGGTGGTGAACGTTTACGAGCGTTGATGATGTGACCGGGCCTTTATATACAATTGTATATATATCAGAGGATTTTTCTTGAGGTATATCTAAAAAGGTATCTAGTTGTCCCTGTATTTATATGTTGTTTTCACAGTATTTTAAACGGCTATATATATTAAACATACTCTTGTGGACAAGTTACAGTATAACTATGTCAAACCTTATTTTGTCTCAAACTGTTTATCAAGCTGCTTGGATAATTCTATTCTTGGGGTTCTTGATTTCGAGTTCTAAATACACTTACCTTGTAAATTCTGATATCCGGTAGTCCCTCTCGGTTCAGGCACTGGCGGATCCAGAAGCTACCGAGAGCGGGCGGGGGCAAATTCCAAATCATACGCGGAAAAAATTGGGCCCCAAAGCCCAAATTTTGCAAAAAGGCCCATTTTTGATAATGAAAATTAATTTCGCCTTTAAAGGCCCAATAAAACCATGTGTAATGCCCAAAAGGCCAACTAATTGAGGCCAAACATTTTTTGGGCCCAACATTTTGAAACCATCATTGTGAGTGGAATGATCTACAGGGTGGTCAGAAAATGTAACCCTGCCTTTTCTTCACATATTGGTCATTTTGATTTTCACTTCAATGACTGCATTATCAGCAGGAGAACAAACATAATGGGCGTTCCATACCCCTCCCCACCACCCCCACAAAAAAGAAAAACAAGAAAAAATTGCTGGCTACGCCCCTGAGGTCATACCTACTGAGGATTGCAGTCAGGGCCCTGACAACTTTGGATGGCCGATGTAGGTTTGCCTTCAGCGTGATGCTGGTGACCACCTGGGTCGGAACATCTTGACAAAATAGTGATATGTTATTTTGAAAGAGCCAGATGTATTTTGAAAATGCAGAATAAACAATGAAAATATAATGTTAATTTTAAAAATGTATCAGCTTTTTTTAAATATTCATAAAAAGTTCTCTGACATATCTCTAAAAAATTCAAAAATAATCGTTTTGTGTCGTCCACTGTCACATGTAACATCATATCACATCGTGTGTCTCTCAAAAATAGTAGACCGAATAATAAAACCAGTTCGTCCCCGGGTGGGCTCGAACCACCAACCTTTCGGTTAACAGCCGAACGCGCTAACCAATTGCGCCACGGAGACGGCGATATGCGGGATGTTCAATAATGCATTAATAAGCAAATTACAGTTGATGTAATTGAAGTATACGGAGTGTGTTGTTGATTGATTATCAATGTTGAAGTGAAGAACATACTTGTGATATACCATATATTAGGCATAGTTAACGTGTTTCCCGTGTAGAGGAATATTCTATATTTACCAGTTGCCTGGTTTAATTCATTTGTGAAATGATACATATGCATAAAGGTTTTAATCTATGGAACTAAACTTGAGTAGAATGATCGGTCCCTGACCGACGTAACCGAGCGCAGTGAACCTTGACTTTACATTTTTTTAAACTTTTTAAACAGTGAGTGAGTGATAATCTGAACTCGAATTTTAAGTATATGTAGAATTCAATATGTTCAATCATAAATATTAGTGACAACTACTACTGACGTGTTACTTGCCATTTTCAATGTGCCGTCCGTAGATTTCCGCCGTGAGAAATATATGAAATTTTATTCTACAATTTCAATCCATACAGTCGTGTATACAACGTTATAAGATATAGCTGTATGACAGGTAAGAGGTTTGTCCATGTTATACATCCTTTTATTTATAAAATACCCTTAACAGTAGACTGTTGGGGGAGTCAAACGTGTACCTTGATTGGCCGATTTTGTTAATTAACCTACAGATATATTGAAATGAAGAAGTGAAGAGTGGAAGAGTGGAAAATTCTGATTAGGCTACTAAATGACTATCTTCAATTTTAACGTGGGACAGGGGTTAGCAATTAGCATGTATCCAAAAGACTGAGTTTTTGATTTCCGACCAAATTAAAAAATATCAGACTTTATGATATAGTCTAGGACGGGGATAGGGCTATCTAATCTCTTTCAAAGGCTGTCTGACTGGTCTGACTGGTCTAATTATAATAGTTTATGATAGCTTAATTCACAAGTTTGAATGTATCGAGCTAATTCAGCATTGGGCCTTTTAACCCCATTGTCGAATCTCTCCCATTGTCCTCTTCCAAAAACACTGTTCAAATTTCAGGCAAATTTCAGCTTTCACTTCTATTCTTGATCATATTGTTGCAGATGACTTGGGTACAATAGAGAAGTTTCTATATAGATTTGAAATCTCGCCAATTCTCGTTTTTGGTGAGATTTTGACTTACTTGAAGATCTACTTACTTTTCCTTCTTTTTAAAAGCATATTTGAATTCACAGAAAAGTTTTCCACAATAATAACTCCAATCTCTACAATTATGATATTTAAATAATTTTCCATGACTTTCCTACTTATTTTTTTAAAAAAATTAAATTTTTCAAAGAATTGGTTTTTTGACAAACTGATTCCTCGTGAATAATCAGGGTAACCTCATATTATGCCAATAAAGTTTTAAACAGATTCAACCAACACGTTTTTATAAATCATTAAATTAAGTGATGCACGTTTTTAACATTGAAGCCTATGGCAGTCTGACCCAACCAAAACATCTAAGCAAGTGATGACATCTATCTAATTGGCATAAAACAACTCCAAGTGTAATAAGTGTTATTGACGTGCAGAAGAAATGCGAACGTCAGTTAGTATATCAAAACGAGAGGTCAGCAGCTGCTAATTCTAGCCTACTTTCAATGTCACAATTTATCACTAAATAAATAATTATAATATTATATATTTCATTGTTTAGTCTCAACGTCGCATCGATCACAGTTCAAGGTCTTTGACTTGAAGTAAAAGTAAATAAACATTGAAGATTACAATTATACTACCCCTCGTATGAAATAATCCAAAATGAAAATTCGTTCATTTATAAAGCCACAAATTACGAACGCATGATTGCGAAAATTTGTCTTGAAAATTAGAATTGCAAGCCATTCTTCTCAGTTTTTGTCACTTTCTCATTCCATTGAGAATTAAGCAGTCTCAGCCCCGTAACTAGCTTTTGCCAAGGGGTTGGGGTAACTTTTCAGAAAAAAATCAGGGGATTTGATTACTCTGACCCAAAATCACATTAAGGTATGCTCACAATCGTGGAAACATCATTATTTTTAAAGAAGTTTTGTTCCTGCGCTACGGGCCTGTATCTACCTTTGTGCTGGGTATTACAACTGCTATCTATCACGTGACATTAAGACACGCAGAAAGTGCCTGTCTGTTATATCATACCTTGGGTTGTGTCTGTGTGACACTATATCGAATTAGTACAACGGTTCATCTAAACAAAGTTAAGAATTGAAATATGCAATTTAGTAAACTATATTATTTCAAACGCTAGAAACTTGGAAATATATAAATATGTTCCATGATTATTTTGAATGGATAATACTATTGGAAAAATGCAGCGGATTAAACACGGCCATCGTAGGGTAATGTAATAGCTGATTGGGAAAAATCTCTGTCCAGCAGGATCTAATGATATTAGTACTAATATTATGAAGTACATCACGCTGGAAACCCCAGCTGATGAAATGAAGGAATATCCAAATGAAGTGATTTGGTCGATAGGTGGCTCTGAACGCAGACAAAGTCACGTAAGTTGTAATTTTGAAAATCTAGCTTTAAAATGTTTATACCCTCACATGTGTGGATACCAATCAAACTTAAATTCCCTTATCTCTTCTTCATTCCCTAATCTTGAATTTTATATTGTTCTAGTAATGTAGAATTTTGTGTTTTCCCAATATATTGCCACATGTCCCTTCTCATTCACCTTAGATTCGGGTGAAGATTTGTTTTATTTTCATGCTATAGAGAAGTTTTACACAATTCCTAAGGGGCAACAAGCCTTAAGAAGTTCGATAATTGTATAGCTTGTTAATAAAAAAATAATGAAGCTTTGCGCATGACGAAAAAATCGTATTTTATTTTAATTCCATATTCAGAGATCCATTGATCTTATCGCCAAGCTGATATTTGTGCCAATAACAAAATAATAAATGTGGTCTAGAATGACCACTCTACTTAAAGTAGTTTCTTAAATAAGGTAAAAATTAACGTTGACCATATATGGACATAATAAGATATCAAGTGACTTGGATCAACCAGTCTTTAAATAATGCTCATGCGCAGATGATGTTTGGCTTATTTTAAACAACAGAAGTTATTAACTTATCTCCGAGCGTCAATTAAGGACAGTGATTTTATTTACACTATTTTGAAAGGCATATATGATACAGTTGTTCGAACAATAAACAATAAATCGATGATCAATATAAAATTTTAAATCAAGAAATATTATTTAATGGAACTTCAGCTAAGTGTACCAACCTTTTGGAAGAAGGTAAGCTTTTCAAATCGTTTAAATGGGATAATATTTTTTCAAACTTCGGAAAAATTTCTATATTGTATTTTTATAATCTGAGAGAATTTAGTCTTGACGTTGCAGTCTTCCTTCATTTTCTACTAATAAGTAATAAAACATGGGGTTCCTACATGTTCTTCGACATGTATCGCCTCGCTCGCTCATTCATACGATTATGCTCTCTCTCATTTTATATACCATGGTATTTTGTTTTCAGAGAATGTCTAATCAAGATGGCGAAATAAACCCAGAGACACACTCGACTGGAACAATAAATGGTGATTGCCAGGCAACATGCAGTGGTTACCATGGGAACTACTATGACGATCATAGACATGGCGATACAATCGATAATCATGTTAACAATTGTGACATTAACACAGATGACCGTGACAGTAAAAGAACACAATCGCATAATAATGACGTAGTGACTGGATCCGGAAATGATCCGTCAAATTATTTATCTGTTTCGATACAGTCACGTGACTTCAGTCGAGGGTCTGTTTCCAGTAATCTTTCCGTTGTAAATGTAAGTGAAACCCTTTATTTTTCAGTACTCTGTAAATATTAAACCCGTCCCCATTTTTGGATCAGTACTCTATATAAATAAAACCAAGAATGAAAGTATATCATTCGACAGACTTTACCTTTAAGTTACCTTTAAGCAATAAAAAGTCAGTGAGGTAAATTAGAAATCACAAGCCAAATCACCAAAAGTCGAATGACATTCGAGATCTACATTTCCTCCAAGATTTTAGATGATTTATATTTGCAATTCTAAACTTTTTTGCTCAGATTACTGATATAACTGGTGCAGAAGACAGTATACACCTAACTACAACTGTACTGAAGCGTTGCAAACGTCAAGTTCTTCGTCCTTACTGGCGCCTTCTGACCGTTGTAAGTCCATTGTCCATGATTGTAAAAGGCGTTACTATGACATTTATGTCTCCTCATCAAGTAAAAACATCAACAACTGTGAATAAAAAATACACATTTTTCAATATATGAGATATTTTTTATCGATTTTGATTGGTTGAATAGCAGTGGATAGTTTTGACTATTCACTGCGCATTTTGTGTAATATGTGTGAAATATCTTTTGCTTGATAAGTCAATTGATAAAGAACAATAAAGATTGCTGTATTAGTTTTAATTTCGAAATACAATTTTAACTGCAACTGTCAACCCCTAGATATGCCAATAATAGTAATTTCATGTTTTCTAGATTGGCTGGCGTGAGTTCGGAAAAGAATCCGTAAACGCGAATGGGAAATGTTGGAGATTTCTCAACGTTGTATATCCAGTGTTTATATCTTTATTGCTTCTATACACGTACATATATCAAATCCTTGTCTGTCAGTGGAGGTTAAACGTATCCCAGGATACCCAGGTAAAGAGACAAAGTCCTATCATATTTCTATTATTGTGTTATCTCGAGCATACGGTGAGCTTGCATCTGGATAATACAGTATCCGTGTATTCTACACTGAACGAACAAAAAATCAAATGAAAGCAAATGTACATGATTAATGATTTTAAAAGTGAAGGCTTTGTACTTGATATAGCAACTAATATTAATTATCTTTCTGAAAATGAATACATATTCCTGAAATCACCAGGCAATATAAATTCTTATTTTTAAGATTACGTGTTAATAGGCTACCGTATGTATTAGAAATATCAGATTAAGTACTTTATTATTAGTCACTTCCCATATTTCTGAAATAAATACATTAAATTCTTATTATTTTGCAGCCTGTGATTATCCAACCGGCTCTTCCTCGTGAGAACAATATAACCAGCACCAATTCCACAACAGTATCTTATCCATGGTTACCGATATCTCCATCGTCTCATTCCGCTGTCAACGCCACTAAATTGACCAAAATAACCGGAAATACGTCACCAAGATGTGATCACGTGATCACTACGTATGTTATACCAAGCTTGCTGCATTTTATAGCATACATTTTAGGCATTTTCTACTTTAGGATAATGGAAGCAGAACAGCTCTATGCACTGTTAGAAAAGGTATGTCACGTGACACATAATATCTTGAAAGCCCATGGTCATGTCTTTAAATTAAATTATGACAAATTGATATATTACATCTATCCTAAATTCATTCAAAATAGTTGGCTATTATGAAAAAACAAGATTTGTAACGTTTGAAAACGAAACAATAAAACATAACCTAATCACATCGAAGAATTAGTCAATATAGAACAATTGTTTGACTTTTGACATTTATAACAATTTAGGTTTTTCTCCAAGCAACGGCGTTACAAGGAAGAGTGGCATCGCAGGCTAAAATTATTGGACGTTTAAGGTATAACAGTTAAACGTGTACAGAGTGTTTCATAATTACCGTCCCCAGCCATCCACAGCCACCATTGAATCACCTAGAGCTCTGGGTATTTCTTTAAAATATTTAATGCATTTGTCTTTCAAATATCATTGGGATATATCCTCAGCATCAATCAAATATTTTAAATTATACGTTACTATAGATAATAGTACAATAACGTCATTTCGGCCCTCGGTCCAACATTTCACTATATTGCTCGCAGAAATGACGTTATTAGTATTATTACCACCGTTAACGACCAGGACTGAAACAGCAAGAAAATCTTACGCATTGAACGATATCTAATTTCCCGGGGAAAATTGCCGGTCCAGAATATATTCTAGACCAAGAGGAGGGAAAGCCCCAGAGTTTCAAGATGACAGACATAATTACCTCTCTTGCTTACCACATTCGTTCGTTCGAATTTTCATCGGCTAGTTATCAAATACTACACTTCGATGGGATGTTATAATTGATATAGGCATATTCCGTACACCTTTCTTTATCTTGATGTGAAATGAGAAGCTATGATATTGGTTAACACGCCAGAAATGAACATGATATATTTTGAAACCGCCATTGATGACGTCATTTGTTTGTCGACTTTTGACCAATCAGCGACCGTGTCATCTCAATACAGATTTACATTATAAGCGTATGTCATCTTTGAACCCTGGTGTTTCTCCCCCTCTGTTCTAGACCGGTCCATATGGACCACCACTATGACGTCACACATGTCTCAGGTCGATATAGTAAAATGAATGCCTTCTAAACTAGCACTAAAAAAACCTAGAACTGGCCCGGCAAGGTGGTAATAATAGTGTATTGAGGCATGGTTATCAACTTATCATAGCTTTATGTAAGGCACATGGCTAATTTTGGATTCTATGCTTAAGGTAAAATGGGTACCCTTTGTAGAGGTATGTAGCAAGTTGAAAAGACCGTTAGGCTTATTCTAATAAGATGTTTTAATAAGTCCAAAATTGAACAAGCTTTCATATGATATATAACATATGGTGGTATGCTGTTTAGGATTGGTGGTTGATGGGTGACGGTCATTATGATCATTATTCATGCACATATCTCTGTTTATTCCCATTTTATTGTGTATGCAATCAAACTATGAAACCTATGTGCATTGCGAGTGTTTAGAGCACGAGGTTCTTGTTTTTCTATGTAAAACGAGGCCAGAGGCCGAGTTTTAAGACTAGCATAAACGATTCGAAAGAGCAATAACTCAGCGAGCCTAAGCCTGAAATGTCCTTAATCTTGAATTTGTTTCAGACTTTTCCTTGCCCTTGGAGCAGTATGGGTGATTCTCTCTGTTGGGTTACATGTTCTTTTCATGTTCGCATTTGGGCTGGACACAATGGCCCATAATACAAAAACTAGGTAAAGCCGAAACTATTTTAAAATGGAGGCGAATAATGTTGAATGTTAATTTCCAGAAGAATTTTTTTGAAAACATGCTATTATGGTTCTTGTGCCATCCTTTAGAACTTTGCTATCTGAACTGAGATATCATATCAAATATAAAAAATGTCCAAATTCATAAAAATTTACAAAATGGATGTGGACGTCTTTTGAGTCATTTCCAGCTTTCTCTTAAAAAATAAGTTTGATATAACATATTTTATGCATATACATATATCATATATCATATACATATACATGTATATTTATTTTTGATTTCAGTCCAGCCAGACACTGGTCGTTATTCGGAGTAGACCTCCTTGGGACAATGCTCTTGAACTCTGTGAACGTCGCCATTGTTATGAACTACGGCACGCAATGCGAGACTCTAGTTTTCTACATAAAAGGAATTTCAACAAGAATACAAGAAAAATCGGTAGACCTGCGTTATGCAATGAAGGTATTATCGACCATGATGTTTAACCCGGAGAGTACCGATGCACCACGACCAAATATATTTGTATAACGAAAATGGCCGAAGTCGTTCAAGGAACCAATCAAATTCCTTAAAGGGTGACGCATATCGTTTAGCAAATCGAACGCTCGTTTCTGGTGTTTCCGTTTAGTATAAAAGGCCCGATCCCGGAATAATACTCAAGGGTTCACAGGTTCGAGGTCGTTGTGTCAACACCTCTAACTGTTATATAGCATAAGTATATTATAGATCGTCACACATTTATAAAAGGGTGATTTTTATTTTGACAAATCAATTCCACATTTATGGGTGAAGTTTCAGGATCTTCTATTTGTGTATAATAAGGAAAAATTGGCATCTAAATTTCCCCATAACGTAATAGCACACAGCTTGGCATATGAAATATCCTACAAATGAAACAAAGCAAGACAAACCGGTTTCTAATACAAGGATTTATATTGGCTGTTGTACGTGTATTCTTTGAACGCAATCACTCTTTGGATAACGTTTTCAAAATCATTATAAACGGATTACTTTATCTCAAAGACAATTTCAGTAAACTGGATTTTACAGAACTCCCCTTATTTCTTAAAAATGGACTGATCCAGTTGATTCGCCTGGGACCGCCATATTGTTTTTATACGGGATGCTAATCGGAACCCTTTAAAGGGTTAGGTTAGATCTTCGGCCATCTTCGACTGTAGATGGCCAAAGTCGTTCAAGGAATCGGCCATCCTCGACTGTAGATGGCCAAAGTCGTTCAAGGAATCGGCCATCCTCGACTGTAGATGGCCAAAGTCGTTCGAGGAATCGGCCATCCTCGACTGTAGATGGCCAAAGTCGTTCAAGGAATCGGCCATCCTCGACTGTAGATGGCCAAAGTCGTTCAAGGAATCGGCCATCCTCGACTGTAGATGGCCAAAGTCGTTCGAGGAATCGGCCATCCTCGACTGTAGATGGCCAAAGTCGTTCAAGGAATCGGCCATCCTCGACTGTAGATGGCCAAAGTCGTTCAAGGAATCGGCCATCCTCGACTGTAGATGGCCAAAGTCGTTCGAGGAATCGGCCATCCTCGACTGTAGATGGCCAAAGTCGTTCAAGGAATCGGCCATCCTCGACTGTAGATGGCCAAAGTCGTTCGAGGAATCGGCCATCCTCGACTGTAGATGGCCAAAGTCGTTCGAGGAATCGGCCATCCTCGACTGTAGATGGCCAAAGTCGTTCAAGGAATCGGCCATCCTCGACTGTAGATGGCCAAAGTCGTTCAAGGAATCGGCCATCCTCGACTGTAGTTTGCCAAAGTCGTTCGAGGAATCGGCCATCCTCGACTGTAGATGGCCAAAGTCGTTCAAGGAATCGGCCATCCTCGACTGTAGATGGCCAAAGTCGTTCAAGGAATCGGCCATCCTCGACTGTAGATGGCCAAAGTCGTTCAAGGAATCGGCCATCCTCGACTGTAGATGGCCAAAGTCGTTCGAGGAATCGGCCATCTTCGACTGTGGATGGCCAAAGTCGTTCGAGGAATCGGCCATCCTCGACTGTAGATGGCCAAAGTCGTTCAAGGAATCAATCAAAGTCCTCGAAGGGTTAGGGTTAGATTTTCGGCCATCTTCGATTGTGATCCAAAAATCGCTACCCCTATATTTATTTATCACCCCTGAAAAAAATCATGAGAGCTTAAAAAGACATTAATTTACTTCATATAAACAGTCAATTGTTGAATTTCCTATATGTGGTGGCACCCAGTGTTTCGTATAGGCGTTGATGCTTGGTTTTCTTCAATCCATGACCATACTTATATGATTTTATATTTTTTAATTTATTTAAACATGAACATTTACAAATATGTTGTCTTAAAACATTCACGAGCGTATGGTTAACAACGTTTAACACCAAGTTAAGCTCCTTTACCTGACTGGTAGGCCATCCAGGTACTTGATTGATGATTTCAGGATATATTGGCTGTGAGGCAGTCTCTTAGTAGCCTCAATAGCACTATGGCCCAAATGACGTCATTGGTTGTGTTTACTTTTGCTGAGATGGTCATCATTGGTAAGATATACCGATTACTATACCATTTAAGGAAGATAGGGGGGGGGGTCTTTCAAGTTAAGTTATAACCGCCACACACATGTATTAGAATGTGAGCTCTTGTGTGTTTAATGTGGTATCATAAGCGAAAGGCCGGTAGAAATATTTTAGAAATAAAGAGGGCGTGCCCATCAATATGTGTTTATTTAGAAATGTTATGTTAATATCTGCTGCCATCTTTAGATCGACCCATACTGAAATAAGGTACATTTATACTGCTTTTAAATTGTAACTAAATTACAATCTAAGGCCATGATAACGTTACCAATAATTTGAAGAACGGAGTGTCCCACATATGCAAACCGATTTCAATCTCTCAGTTACGTAGAAATATTGGCTTCGTGGCGATCAACTTAAAAAGTTATATTTCCGTGAATTATATTATATTATATTATATTATAATTATGTTATATCATATTATATTATATTATGTTATATGATAATTATATTATATCATATTATATCATATCATATCATATTATATTGTATTATATTATATTATATTATATGTTTATTATATTATATTATACTATGTTATATTATATTATATTATACGATATTATATCATATTATATTATATCATATTATATTATATCATATCATATTATATTATATCATATTATATTATATTATATTATTTCATATTATATTATATTATATTATATTATATTATACGTATATTCAATTATTTCCAGGGATTAGTATTTTGGTGCTCAATAGGAACGACCAAGCAATCGTTTGGGTGTACCGGTCAATATTTCCAATTGTTTACTCGCTGATTCTTATATTTCCACTAACACAGGTAAAAGCAAAACGTTTAAAATATGCTTTATATTGAACAAAACTGAGATTTTATGAGTGATTGTATAATTTATGCCTGGAGAGTTTTTTCTGTTCATTGTAAAATACCAAAATCGTGAAAAGGTTTTAAATATTTGTCAATAGGCTAAATTGAAATAATGGGCCATTTAAAATCCTCATCCTGATGTCAAATAATATCACTGTAATTATATATTCCAGGCTGCTAGAATCATATCGATGGGGTCAAAGTTCAAGAAGTTAGCCTTAGAAAGTCGGGTGTTTGGATATGGAGGATGTTCCCCGGGAGAACTAGATTCATTCCTTACTTTTATTGGACAAACACACCTTCGAGTACGTATAGGATTCTCTTTCAAATTTGTGTTTCGTTCGGTGTAGGTAAAGGTCACAAATACATTATGTGCAGAAGAAGTGGGTAGCTCCGACAATTATTTCACGGGTATTATTTGGTAATCATTAACATAATTTAAAAATAAATTACACCCATCACTTTAAATTTATGATAATATCCATTCACACAAAGCTAGGGAAGGTATGTCCGATTCCAGGCAATGCCAACACACTATTTCAAATATATGCATGCAATTATAATATATCCAACAATTCACCAAAGGTCTCTCATTCAAAATTCTATTGAAACTTATGAAATCGATAAGCTGATAAGTTCATATTTTAGTAAAGTTCTATAAATAGTATTAGGGTATACAAGTTACGTGCTTATGCAGGTCAAATGTTAAGTGTTCTATAGTTGTCATGGTGACTGGAATCCATGATACCGACTGACACAAACACAAATAACAGTTTGACCTTTGCAAAAAGTTTACTTGAAAATATATTATTTTGGTCATTTCATATCTTTTTTGTATATAATATTTTGCAATGTGTGAAAAGAATCTAAGCCGAATACTCAATGCATTGTTGAATGACCATTCATTTCAGACGTTATTCCTGATCTTAACACTTGATACTTGCATATCTCTTGCAAATTTTGAAAAGCAAATTTAAGCAAACTAAAATTTGAAATCGTGAAAATTGCAGTTTATTGAGTCGGGGCAATCTGGGCGATGTTCCTTTTTACATGATTCGGTTTTTCGCGCATGAGCAAAAATTGAAGCACCTCACATGATTCAGATTGCTTTCCCGCGTTTCAATGGGACTCGATGGGGCAATTTGGACTTTGCCCACGTTCGGCTTAATTTAATTTCTTTGTAACTGGAGTTCCATGCTATTTGTAGCTACACAAAACTCCTTCGTTATAGTCTACGCAAGGGCGTTACAATACCCGGGAATTTATCGGTTCGTGCAGTACTTGTTTGTGATAGCGCCCTCTGTAGGTCACTGTGCTTATAGCCTACATTAATACGGGGTAGGATATCGGGAATTCGGTCAGTTTCCATCCGTCGATTTCGCTATGAATTGAAGCAAGTGTGACCACTTTATCCACTTAAACAATTTGATAATTGATTAAATCTTTAAACAAAATCGATAAACACGTTATACACTTCCTATCTCCTTAGAAATTAGCATGTATTTATGGATTGTGTTTTCGAACAAGGCTCGACCCAAACCAATAGGGAAATCCTTATGCTAATTAGTATGACGTCATATTTTCCTGGGGAATCCTAGATTTCAAAGCCTCAGTCTGTTATTGTGTCAAATGTAAACGCTCTTTTGCAGACAGAAAATTGACAGATTAGCTTTTAACTTTCAGCTTTGATGTTTAAATATTCTGTATTTCTACCGGACTTCTTGCTGAATATCATATAATGTTATAACTTGATTTGGACCATTGCCTGATTGATCATTCTGAAATTTTGATTGTGACCGTATGATTGATTGGCGAGAAAAATAATTCCTATTGTTTTCCAGCGAAGTCAAAATGTTACAGCATGAGTTATAATGTCGAGTTTGCATCATGTTAAATTCTGCTAGTGATTAGAAGTCCATGCACAAGCATACACATAACTTGAGAGACAAACACACCCAGGCTCCAGGCCGTGGATGGAAATATAAAACTATTTAAGGCACAAACTGGTATTTAATAGACCGATATGTAGTGTCTGCCATGTATTGAAGGTAAACAATCTGCATTATTAATGTTACTTCTATCAATACATGGATTGTGCAATGGAAAAGCAATGGCACAATCAAAAATGTGCATATCAATCGTGAATATCTCTCGGTTCAAAGCTTATTTCCAACAGAATCGTGTCAAGATATGTGTCTGAGTAACAGTTATACATTATAAGATCGCAAACTCTTACCAATTATCAGCCGAATGGCTCATTTTCAACGAAATGTCCTTAAGACAACAGCCCTGGGTCGCGCCTGAGACCAAAAACTATTTCAAATAGCCCTCCCCTAATTATATTGGATAATCACATTTATGCGTGCGCGCGCATCTCCTCCACTGAACGAAACGCCACTTCCCGCTGAAATCACCGGGTATTGATCTTTCCCTTGGTCTACGCGTTTTTCAGGCACAGGCCACGTAAATATACCTAGACGAATAGGTGAGGGTCAATACATATTCTATTTGAATAAAAGAGGAAATTCGGTGACAAACTTTTTGTAATCTATTTATGCCCAAACAATATTAATATATATGTATTTCTTTATTTTTGCAGGCAAAATTATTCCATATTCCAATGAAAGCGGGCTTCCTTGTTGGATTCCTTGTGGTGACGTCACTAGCCTTATTGCTGCTCTTTCAGACTAATTTGATAGTATCAACAAGACAGTTGCTATAGTATTGTTTTATTTACTGTTTGACGAACACCCCTACGTTGCATTAAAACTCTGCTGATTTGATAGTACCAGTAAGACAGTTGCTCTAGTTTAGTACTTTATTTATAGTTGGATGAACGTCGTTATTGGCTATAGTGCATTCCTTCCATATAAAGAACTTATATACCTTATAATTATGCTGATTTGATAGAATCAGCAAGACAGTTGCTGTAGTGATGTTTTGTTTACTGTTTGACGAACATCTTATTGGATGAGGTGCATCCCTACGTAGCATGAAAATTTTGCTGATTGGAAAGATCACGACATCACATTCTACAGTACATATAATAGCCAGGTTCACTTACTGCGTCAACAATTGAAATTCGTATGTTCATCAATATTTACTGAGAATGGTGCCACGATTGAAGTAAACATCTGGCCTATTATTTTCGATATACCTATCAGCAAACATGTAAATGATAATTTTGATGTTCTGTTACATATTGGTAAATATCTAAGCACAAGTGCTAAAGGGAAAGGACCAAAACTTGTAATGGAACTCAGCAAGAAAAAGCAAACTCTAAGTGCATACCAGTCAAGAAAAACAAACCCCACATATACCAAAACCATGATCTAGCGTGAAAAGAAACAATGTCTAATACCCCCTTTCCCCCCACCATTCAAGAACCGATATCACAATCCAAGACCAGAACAGAACACCAAGGGACATTTCATTCATACTGAAGTCATTACAATACATGTTGAAGAATTTAGAAATTGATAGCCAATACTCATAACATCAAAAATAGTTGTACTCATACAAGATGGAGCATTCAGTCTCAAATGATGTGGGATAAAGTGGGAAAGGTAATTCTGAAGATATGGCCTTTTATGAATTTCCCTTATGTGCATGTATACCCCTACTTTAAAAGACACACAACACAACCCACGTGACAATTCATGTTTGAAAAATTTCAGAAACCGCTTGCAGATTACAACCTTGAACCAAAAATGAATTATAATATTTAATTATTCAAATCCCACATGCCTTTCACAGACCCAAAAATCAATGCTCACTATGTAAATGAATGTAGCACTATAATATGAGCTTTCTTGTAATTTTTGCCAATGTCTGTATCATGTTTTGTTTGTCTTAACTTTCAATAATAAAAAATAAAACAAAAATACAACGATTAGGCAAGGCTAGGACATTATTGAAGAATAACGTGAAATAGAAATTTAAATTAAAAGCAAAACAAAGTTGCCGTTCTGTCGGGGCATTGCTGTATTGTAAAGAGTCCCTCGTTTTAGCAGCGTACGTTTTTGGTCCCCAACTGTGAGAAGCCAAGCCCTCAATTCTCACAGCTGGGGACCCAAATGCCGCTGAAAGTAGGGACTCTGTAGAACAGAATAATGTAACAATAGAAAGGCATTTTTGTTATGCTTTGAATGGAATAAGTTTTAAGAAAAACGATGCAGTATGAGACTCGCAATCCATGATTTTCAAACATCTGGTCGGTCAAAAATTCAAAATAACGGTCGAAGTTGGTGCCACCTGATACATATAGTATTTGCGCGGCCGAACAAAATGAGTCGACTTTTGGAGAATTCAATATCACGGTCTCCGATACTACCCAACGTAAATCGTTCCGGTCTTGTTTTTCATAACCATTTGGACTCATTTCGTAGGAGAATGAGATGAGACATTCATCAGAATGGCTCAAAAAGGTAATACAATTCAATCGTTTAGAAAAAACATACACTAATATCTACCTAAAACATTCTTTTTCATACCCACATATCTATTTTGGCGATCGGGCCTTCATAGTTCATATTTATCTAATCGGCATTAAATAACAAAAATGCCAGAAATATGCTCTAAATCTGCATTAGTGTCATTTAACTATGTTCAAATTTCCATAAATGACCGTAATGTAAAAAGTGGAGTTAACGACGGCGAATGGTCCTTATTCTGACACGGACTTGTCTTATAATCCCTAGGTGAACGACTGCGAATTGTACACAACGTGATAAAAAATAACGATTAGGAATTGTCTTGTAATGGTATTTATACGTTCCGTTGCTTGATTTATTGTCTATGCTTCTGGAAAAATTGCACTTAGTATGATTATGTTGTAGAGGTGTTTTTGTACTAAATATTCACACATTTTGTAATTTCAGTTCCCAGAAACAAGTGCCACGAATGTACTTTTAAAAGTGCAGATAAAAATATATTCTTTGAACACTTCAAGAGGGTCCATCCCTCAGATTTATTATCCCATCGAACGAAGTTCGGAGGGATATAGGGAACGCCTCCGTCCGTCCGTCCGTCCGCCCGTACGTACGTCCGTCCGGGCAATAACTCAAATACCGTTGGCCCGATTTTGTTCATATTTTGTACACATATACCCTATGGGGGTAGAAATTCTGTTCGAAAGCTGATTTTCAAAATGGTCGCTCATTTAAAAATGGCGGCCATTTTAGTGCCGATTTTACAGTAATTTAGGTGCAATATGTAAAACTGTAATAGCAATATGTTTTAAATGTGAAAAAATTATATAGGACATTGATAAAGCTAGAAATGTAGATATTTAAGAAGCACATGACAGCCATCTTGAAAAATGGCGGCCTTTACTCGTTATTTTACGATTTTTGCTGTAACTCGAAAAGTAGTGGAGCGATTTTGTTCATATTTGGTATGTGAATACTATAAGCATGGCACACTGTCTAATGACACTTTTGGTAGAAGGCGGCCATTTTGAAAAATGGCCGCCATTTTAACGTATTTTACTATAACTGGAAAAGTAGTGGAGCGATTTTGTTCATATTTAGTATGTGAATACTATAAGCATGACACACTGTCTAATGACACTTTTGGTAGAAGTCGGCCGTTTTGGAAAATGCCCGCCATTTTAACTTATTTTACTATAACTCGAAAAGTAGTGGAGCGATTTTGTTCATACTTGGTATGTGAATACTATAAGCATGGCACACTGTCTAAAGACACTTTTGGTAGAAGGTAGCCATTTTTCAAAATGGCCGCCATTTTAACGTATTTTACTATAACTCGAAAAATAGTGGAGCGATTTTCTTCATATTTGGTATGTGAGTACTATAGGCATGGCACACTGTCTAATGACACTTTTGGTAGAAGGTGGCCATTTTGAAAAATGGCTGTGCTATATACTTTGTTTGTAAATATGCAAGCCATGGCTGTTCGATGGGATTTGCTACGCTTTGGCATTGCTGTTGTCTAGTTCAGGCTTGACGTCCCTTTTCGTGATAAAGGCATATGGCGTTACAAAACACAGTATTATGGATTCCGGATGTGTGATAAATTAGGCTCAAAGCTGTCATTTGATTTTGGCACCTCGATAAAGGAAGAAGAATACGTTGAACCCAGTCCTCTTCAGAAGCACATGCGATTCACAGAGATAACAACGTTAACCCCTGTGAAAATATGATGAAATCGAAGATGTAATAATATTTATTGATTAAAAATAAAAATATAAACTAAGTATATGCAAATTACAGGGAGACCGGAAAGTAAAGATGCAAATACTCTAATTTTAAGAGATTTAGGATTTTCGCAATGAAATTGCTACATATTGTAGAGGAACATTACAACGTGTCTACCAAATCTCATCGCACATAGTCTAAACCTGTAATGATTCCCTAATTCAACCTTGACAAGTATCTCTTAATACGTTTAATTAATGATGATCATTTAGATAGTATCACTCAGACAACTTCTTCCACTGTCCTCATCCACTCTGATGATTTGTTGGAAATCCTATAAAGTTTATGGAGCTGTTCCACACTAAAAAATGGTTCATTGTGTTCTACAAGTCAGAAACGTTCCAATAATACAAGTCAGAAACGTTCCAATAACAAGTCAACATCATTAACTGGAATATTTAGGTCACGTCCAAATGGTTAAATCTAAAAAATATTCTTTCGACAATTGCTACTCATTTACACCATTGGATACAACGCAGGCTGGTGATTATAAGGCAAAATAGGTAAAAACACTGGCAGAATCGCTCGCATCCCGAAATAACAATTAAAGACTATAGCAAACGGTTCGTACAAAAAAGGCGTTTGCAGGTGCCTGAAGATAGGGTATAGTATGGTAAGTTATCTAATTGTATTATATTTACATAAAGTCAAGTGAAAGCAATTTCATAACGAAATTTTCAAACCTACCTCTACTCTTTTCCATAAATCAAGTCCAAATGGTTATGAAAAACAAGTCCGGAACGATTTACGTTGGGTAGTATCGGAGACCGTGAATATGTTATAAATATATAAATATTTTATATATTCAAAGTTTACCAATAAATAAATATAGTGACATAGACACGAATGGCCATGAAAATATATAGTTTATAATGCAAATGAAAACCGTTGACAGCTCTGCAAATATATGCTTTCGTCGAGAATACTGAATGTGGGATGTCATATAAATTGTAGCACGCCTGACTCTAATGTCATTATGAGGATTATTTCTAATATTGAGAATCCGTTAGAATTAAATAGATAATAAATAGGTATTTATACCAAAGCAAATGCAAAACTTTTCAGTTACCTAAATCACTACACTCTTACACTAAGAATTGAAAGTTGGAAAAATATTAAGACGAATAAGGAAAATTGAAAGAAACGGTTCCACATCTGGAAAATCAGAACTGATGAGAAGGCAAACTTGAAGGCGAAAAACGAATGAGCCGAAAGTTCAATTCGGAATCCTCTTGGAAGCCAAACATTGGCTGTCTTACAAAGATCATTAAAGGTTTTGTAAAAATCAATCAAATTATTCACTTTTTTATCTATTTTATTTCAACGGATGATAAACTTCTCAATATTAGAAATAACCCTTATAATGGCATCGTAAGCAAGGTGCGCTACAATTTATATGGCATCCCTCATTCAGTATGTTTAATTGACGAAAACATATATGTAAATTGTTTTAGTTTGAATAATAAATGTATAAAGGATGGGTATCGATATGGTAACTTTTTGAGTACACGTTTCTCTTAAACCAGTCAACCAAAAATTCTGAAGATTTTACACATTGTCAATTCAATCGTCAACAATATAATTTGAAGTTAATATATGAACTTTTCTCTACATTGTTTTAGAAAACACATCAGACACTTGTTCTTTTGTTCTTAGTATCATATGTTCGGAATGAAATGAAACATCTACATTGTATCCCAACCTCATTAAAACAAAATGACATAAATACAACGTGTCAATCAGTCAATATTACATAAAGGACCGTGTTTTTCTAATGTTTTCAATAATTGGTTTAAGATAAAAACATTGTTGAATTCAGTTCACCATATCGATACCAATCCTTAATACGTGAATATTGAAAGAAAGTAATATACGTATATAAAACGTGATGATATAGAGCTATCTATTTACATGCAGCCACCAACAAATTAGCAGTTGGAGACGGCACATTTAAATTTCACACCGGAATACCCCGACAACGGTTAAGTCAGATACCGTTGTCACAAATGGCGGACACAACCGTCGCTTCAATTAGATTTTCATGAATTGTATGTTTAATAGAGCATCTAGACTAAACATTGTCACAACGATCAAACAAAGTATCTTTCTACTGATCATATTTTCTACCATCGAAATAAAAGCTTTGATTTTACCGATCAAAATTTGACACGGGAACACGGAGTACTGTATAAATGACAACGGTAGATGTGGTTCAACTGTGCTGTAAAATAGGGATGACAACGGTAGTATTTGGTAACGGTAGTTATGACAAAAATAGTTTTCTAATGTTGTGCTTAAATCACAGTTCCACAGCCGGATTACTGTAACTGCAGTTACCTTCATTCAAGATGGTTGCCGAGATCCTTTCGTTTTCGAAGTTTTGATCTTTGACTTGCTAATAAAATGTTTTATAATATTTCACGTGAATATTTTCAGGCAAATAAAGTCTCAGTTCTGAGTTGAACCTCACAATATCATCATGTCAGAGATCTAGATGTATATTAAAAAGAATAATGTATGGCATTGTTGACATTTCAAATGGGATCTTCGCGTGTTTAAGTCAGACTTGAAATTCAACCCGCCAACCCATGTGTTTTGGATCATTAAATGCCCCTCTTTCTCCAAAGCATCCATTGGACGTTAAAATTTCGTGAACATCGTTATCATGGTTATGCTTAGTAGTAGTAGTAGTTGAGCGTAGACATTTACGGACATACAGAAAAAGTATGAGGTAGCTAAGTAAACTAGGTAGCCGAACTGCCACGACCGCCATAATGAGTAAACGCCAAAAACCTGGGACTGGGAGAATGTCCAATGTACTAGTATATATTTCTGCAAAATTAAACATAGTGTACAAAACAACGAATGCTTCAACATTTAGTAAATACTATTGTATTTAGTCCAGAAAATAACAATTCTTCAACATTTAGTGACCCCTATTTAGAAAATAGTAAACAACAATCCTTCGAAATTTAGTAAACACTATTTAAAACAGTAAAAATAACAATTCTTCAACATTTAGTAAACACTATTTATTTGGTAAACAACAATACTTCGACATTTAGTAAACACTATTTAAAATAGTAAATATAACAATACTTCTTAACATTTAGTAAATACTATTTATATGGTAAACAACAATACTTCGACATTTAGTAAACACTATTTAAAAAGTAAACAACATCACTTTAACATTTCGAAAACACTAGAGTAAACGATATCACATCATTAACATTATCTCAATATACCAGTATAGAGATATAAAGAGTTACAGCAACATTTAAATATTAGCGAAATGAATCAATTACATATTTCATCAATAAAATAATGTCTCATTCCTGAAATTCTACATGCATGACGTCATACACGTCAACTCATATGTTTTGGATCATCGAATGTACCTCTTTCTCCAAAATATCCCTTGGTTGTTAATATTTCACTTATAATGAACATTGTTATCATAGTTATACTAAGAAGGAGTTGAATGTAGACCTTTACGGACATACAGAAAAAATGTGTTGTAGCTAGGTAGACTGTGTAGCCGAAGTACTGCCACGACCGCCATATTGAGTAAACATCCACAACATCGGACTGAGAGAAAGTAACTCCAATGTATGCTACATTAAAGAAAGAAAACAACATTCTTTCAACATTCAGTAAACACTATCCAAAATACTTCAACATTGAGTAAACACTATATTGAAAAATAGAAAACAAAAATACTTCAACATTAAGTAAATACTATCCAAAATACTTCAACATTTAGTAAACACTATTCAAGAAATATAGACCAAATAGCAGGGGTAATATCGTCGAATACACCCCGCGGGCTAGGCACAAACGTTTTCTGTACCCTGAACGACCGAACTGAGTGAGAGGTTCGAAAGCTTTTACGCCTAGCCCTAATGAGCGTATTCGACGATATTACACCTGCGCTGCTCTGAGGTCTATAATACGATTCGAACGTGAAAACACACCAAAATGTTTCGAATATTCATTATGGTCCGCCATTACTACGGCCCGCCGTTATGACGTCACACTCAACTTGTATTACCATGGGTATTGTTCGCGAATATACCCCGGGTGAAATGTTGACTTTGTTCACAGTTTATAGAAGGTGTAATACAGTCATGTTCGAATCATATATAGAAAACAGCAATACATCAACATTTAGTTAACACTATTTAAAATTCGAACATGACTGTATTCACGCCTTCTATAAACTGAACAAAGTCAACATTTCACCCGGGGTATATTCGTCAATACTACCCCTGGTAAAAAGAGTAATGTGTGACGTCATAACGGTAGGTCGTAGTAATGGTGGACCATTAAATGAATATTTAGATTTTAGTGAGTTTTCATGTTCGAATCGTAATCCAGACCTCAAAGCAGGTGTGATATCGACGAATACACCTAGGGCTAGGCACAAAAGCTTTCGAACCCCTCACTCTCTTCTATCGTTCGGGGTACAGAAAGCGTTAATGCCTAGCCCTGCGGGGTGTATTCGTCGATATAACACCTGCTCGTCGATCTTTTTTCTTAAATGGAAAACAACAATACCTCAACATTTAGTAGATACTGTTTAAAATAGTTTGCAACAATATTTCAACATTTCAATCTATAGAAATAAAATGGATGGATGAAATGTCACGAAATTATTGGGAATATGAGGATATAATGACAGAGTTATAAAGGAGTTAAGCTAGACGTTTTTGAGAAAATGTACGTGTTTTAAGAGACCTTATCGCCACATTTCCCCTTTAATCTGGAAAGAATGAGGATTGGCTTTTAGGGTTCCAACTAGATATTTTGCCATATGTGGAGTTCTGTCGTGATTCCAAAATTCAAAATCAAATAGCCGCCATTTTTTCATGTAAGAATTGGAATTGCGAGTTTTGCCTTAAATCTAAACAAAAAATTCAACACACAGAATACGTGATCCAGACATCAATTCAAATCTTTTGGATTTGGATATTATGAATTTATAGTCGGTTATAATGTCATGAATGTTAATCAAGGTCAAGGTCGAATATCGAGTTGGAACCCTCATTGATTTGGAAAGTCGATAATTTGAGGGAGAATCCCCGAACAAATCCCCGTGGGCAACAATGCTAGACGTATTCCTACATGATCTCTTAAAACGTGTAACTAACCTTGTATTTGCGAATGCAAATTTCAGCTGTCGACTACCGGATTAGTCTACTATTTTATGACCAACTCATTTAAATATGAATAGTACCTGCAACCATTCCATTCATATTTAAAATAGTTTGCCATACAAAAGTAGGTTAATCCGGTGGCCAGCAGCCGTCATTTGCATTCGTGAATACAAGCTTCACTGGCATGTAGCGATTATAGCGGTCCTGTCTTGGCTTATTGAATTGTTACGAAGTTACGTATGCGGTGCGGAAGTTAGAGAGCAAATGACCATCATTTCAATGTAATAGTTTATGCAGGAAAATTGAGATTAGGCCATTGGAGTATTTGTTTCATGCATTTGTAAAACATTACCCACTCATAGGTCATACTTATCGTTAAACCAATAACTCAAATATATGCCCTTGTACACCGATCACCTGTTGAAACTAATACAGGCCGATTTCAACAAATGTAAACGGCGATATATTCAAAATCGTATTCAAGCATGACCACGTCCCAACTTCTTTTGTTTTCTTTACAACTAAGCTATGACTGCAGTCTATTCAGTGTTGCGTATCGAACCTTGTTTATTATAAAAATAGTGCAACAACAAGCAGAATTCACACATTTACCTTATACTTATTCTCAACTGAAGACATTGAATTTATCTCTTAGGTTTTACATTATAAATATCTTAACATGCAGAATACGAAAATAGAGGCTTAGGCCCAACTTTGTATGAATTTTATGAGAATAATCTGATTTTAGAGAAATGAAAAGAAAAATGTCCACACCCTACACAAAATATTTATGGTTCCCGGGAATACGTATGTGCTGCTTGTATATTAGAATCGTATTCCAGTTACAGAAAGAAGTACATATCATGCTAAACTGTATACAACAGTTATGCACTTGGAGGTTTTGGATACAGGGAATATCCCGAGGGATATATAATATATCTTCCCTTGGTCCCTCGGGAAGATATATAGTATATCCCTCGGGATATTCCCTGTATCCAAAACCTCCAATTGCATAACCCCTATGTATGTCATGGCTAAAACACCGTATGCTATGGTTAAGTGAAAAGAAGGAGGGAAATTAGTGCAACAGATTTTGGACAGTCATATTTTGGATTTTGGCCATTTTCTGAGGATTTAAACAATTGCATATGTTAGGCCAATGCATTACCCCCAGGAAAATCACTTCTAGAGATGATAAAATAATTTCGACTTTGAGACAGGGTAGATGCAAACAACCCACCCACATGTTTTTTTCTGAAATGTTTTCCTAATTTTCGACCCCTTCCACCCCTGCTTTTTCAATTTTTCTTGCATCAATATGTTGCATTTTGACACATACGTAGTTAACCACTTTAAAGGAATAAGTGATTCCTTCAGGGGTTTTAAAGATACCCATTATGGGTGACCAAACTTAGCTGAAAGCAATGGTTTTTCCTATGGGAAAATAACATGGGAAATATTGTTTTACACTTTATCTAAAAGGAATCATTTATTCCTTTTAAGGGATTATCTGTGTGTCACAATGCTACATATTAATGCAAGAAAAATTAAAAAAGCAGGGATGGAAGGGGTTGAAAATCAGGAAAACGTTTCAGAAAAAACATGTGGGTGGGTTGTTTGCATCTACCCTGTCTCAAAGTCAAAATTATTTTATCATCTCTAGAAGTGATTTTCTTGGAGCTAATGCACTCGCCTAACATATGCACCTGTTTAAATCTCCAGGAAATGGCCAAAATCAAACATGACTGTCCAAAATCTGTTGCACTAACTTCCCTCCTCCTCTGCCAAAAATATCATATTTTACCACTGATTTCAAAAATACCGTTTTTATTTTGACATGTTATCCTATGGATATCATGCTAACTATGGAATAATATAGGAATATCCTATGGCGCTGAAAAAATATCACTTATATCCATGAGTGGATATTGATATCTTCGCGAGTGACGTAAAAGAGTGGTTTGTATTTAATGCGAACGCCGTAAAAACAAGATCCCAAAAAATAAAAATATATAATAAATATATAAACAATCGTTTTGCTGAATTAATAAAAAAATTGAAAAAATCAAAACCATCGAATATCACTTTTGAAACCATCGAATATCACTTTTGAAACCATCGAATATCACCTTTCAAAAAGTGATATTCGATGGTTTCAAAAGTGATTTTCGATGATTCGGGAATTGTTTGCTAAAATATGATATCTTGATATCCACGTATCAATTATATCTTCACGTGATATTCGATCTATATCCTTGTAACCATGGGATAAATAAGGGTTATTTACTGGGAGGTTTTGGATATGGGGTTTTTCCAGAGTGAGATATGCATATCTACCCGAGGGACCGTAGGGACAGAAAGTAGATGTGCATATCTCACGAGGGATGAACCCAATATCCAACCGACCGTACATAACTGCTTTATCCTATACCAAGTAGAGTTTTCAGTAGTACAAGGTGTAAAAAATAAACAAATCATTCATATGCAAAGTCATTTTATTGCATTTCCACTTTTTTGGAAGCGGCAAGATACGCCCCGAAGCGGGAAGATATGCACCGAAGCGGGAGATATGACGGGAGATATGGAGGTTCTTGATATGGAAACCTCAAAATCAGGATACGGGATATATCTTACCAACTTATCTCCCTAAACCCTATCCCTAATCTCCCTAAACTTAAAACCCTACTTGGCATAGGATAAATCAAGATAATTTCTACTCGCATCTAGTCTATTCCACATGTTTGGGAAAAGTGTACAGGAAAATCTCCATGTTCAATTACTCAGATGCGAGTAGGTAGTTACCAGTTTCGCCACCAGGTGGCTGATTCGGGGGAAATAACATGGCAGGGTATTACAAAATTCCCTTAAACTTGAATATGCATCAGTTTTAGTGGTTCACTTTTGAAATTACCCTTATGTATGTGATAGTTATACAAATTAAAATATGTCCAGTAAAAGAAAATATTATCTGCCCACAAGAAACGATATTTCGCTTTTTGTAGTTTTACAACATGGGGTCTATGGGGAATCTCCCCGACCTAGAAATCACATTGTCAAAGAAAATTAAATTTTCAAAGTTGATAAACTATTTTCAAAACCACATTTTTAGATGAAATTTTATATGTAGATTCCAAATATGACACCAGTTTGACAGAATTGTGAATTTTTAATGACGTAAATCAAGATTATTTCTACTCGCATCTAGGATATTGATGTATGATCAATATATACGAATCGAATGTATTATCGTGTGCATTACAATATCCACATTGAAACATTTTTGGCCTGCAATGGACGTATAATGAATTAGAATATGAGGCCGTGTTATCATTCTAATGTAAAGTCATGGTATTGGGTTGCAAGTTAATATCAGATTCAATGCAAATCAATCATCTAATATCAGATGCGCGATCAGTCCAATAATCTAATTTCAGGTCATCAGTTCGATATCTAGCACTTGTTCTAACGTCACGGTATTACTAGGCTATCATATTATAAATACACACACATATAAAACAATCAAACTGGTACACGATATAAGCACGACTGCTCTTTCAATTGAGTATAAATGTTGATAAACTTACCCGGAAGCCAAGACATACACGTTTAGACGATGCTATTTTCAGTTCAGTGTAAGAGTAAATGCCCGGATATCGAGGCTTTTTCGTGTAAAGTTTTAACCAAGCATCTAAAATCGGGTTATATTGCGTGTAGAATTTATCGATATCAGGGCCGCTACATGCCAGTGAAGCTTAATCTCTCATATATTTTGTTCATAAAAGTATACTCACCGCTTGTCTGAGTTTCCCATATTGCATCAGTAAATCCCCACATAATTGGCACGAAATATAAGAACCATATTTGACTTGGGTTGAAAACAACTAGCGAAGTCCATATGCTCAAATTTATAACAAAAGCACCTAAGAACATAATGTACCTAAAACATACGAACAATTGTCTTAACAATTTTCATGGTTTAGTCAACTGACTCGGCTCTGTGTAGTAGGAACGGAACTAAAGGACAAGTCTCGATTTGGAGAACAGTCTCGTGGGCTAATAATTTTTTTAATTTTTTTATTTTTATTTTTTATTTTTATCTGGTAAACATTTGAAATGTATACATACCGTGAAATATACTTCTCAACCATTCCCACGAGGAGAGATCCAGAAGTATCAGCTACACCAAAAAATATCATCCCTCTTCCTATTATATCAACACCTGCATTGCACGTCATAAACGACTGAAATGTAAAAAATCGGAATTTTGATTTTTTTCCTGCCATGTTATTTCCCCCGAATCAGCCACCTGGTGGCGAAACTGGTAACTACCTACACGCATCTGAGTAACTGATCACTCGACCAATACGTTACGCCTCTTGCGTATCTCTAGCGCTCCACACATTTCGGTAACTTTACATACGAGCACATTGCATTCAGTCAGTCAACAGTCAACATTTTCGTTTTCATTATTCTTAAGTTACAATACCATCATTTATACGTTTTTTACTGTATTACAATTTTTTACCTACCCACCATCACCCATTTTTTCTCTTTTTTTTAATTTTAGATCATGTAATTCATGCCTGCCTTAAAAGGGTGCACGAATTCATGTTAACATAGGCCTGCCCCAAAAAGGGTGCCTTCTTGTTGCCTCCACTTGCCTTTCTGAAACACTGCATGTTACAAACTTCACATGCCTGCCTGAAACACTGGTGCATGTTACAAACTTCAAATGCCAGCCTGAAACAATGGTGCATGTTACAAACTTCACATGCCTGCCTGAAACACTGGTGCATGTTACAAACGTCACATGCCTGCCTGAAACACTGGTGCATGTTACAAACTTCACATGCCTGCCTGAAACACTGGTGCATGTTACAAACTTCACATGCCTGCCTGAAACACTGGTGCATGTTACAAACTTCACATGTCTGCCTGAAACACTGGTGCATGTTACAAACTTCACATGCCTGCCTGAAACACTGGTGTATGTTACAAACTTCACATGCCTGCCTGAAACACTGGTGCATGTAACAAACTTCACATGCCTGCCTGAAACACTGGTGCATGTTACAAACTTCACATGCCTGCCTGAAACACTGGTGCATGTTACAAACTTCACATGCCTGCCTGAAACACAGGTGCATGTTACAAACTTCACATGCCTGCCTGAAACACTGGTGCATGTTACAAACTTTACATGCCTGCCTGAAACACTGGTGCATGTTACAAACTTCACATGCCTGCCTGAAACACAGGTGCATGTTACAAACTTCACATGTCTGCCTGAAACACTGGTGCATGTTACAAACTTCAAATGCCTGCCTGAAACACTGGTGCATGTTACAAGCTTCATATGCCTGCCTGAAACACTGGTGCATGTTACAAACTTCACATGCCAGCCTGAAACACTGGTGCATGTTACAAACTTCACATGCCTGTCTGAAACACTGGTGCATGATATAAACTTCACATGCCTGCCTGAAACACTGGTGCATGTAACAAACTTCACATGCCTGCCTGAAACACTGGTGGATGTTACAAACTTCACATGCCTGCCTGAAACACTGGTGCATGTTACAAACTTAACATGCCTGCTTGAAACACTGGTGCATTTTACAAACTTCACATGCCTGCTTGAAACACTGGTGCATGTTACAAACTTCACATGCCTGCCTGAAACACAGGTGCATGTTACAAACTTCACATGTCTGCCTGAAACACTGGTGCATGTTACAAACTTCAAATGCCTGCCTGAAACACTGGTGCATGTTACAAGCTTCATATGCCTGCCTGAAACACTGGTGCATGTTACAAACTTCACATGCCAGCCTGAAACACTGGTGCATGTTACAAACTTCACATGCCTGTCTGAAACACTGGTGCATGATATAAACTTCACATGCCTGCCTGAAACACTGGTGCATGTAACAAACTTCACATGCCTGCCTGAAACACTGGTGCATGTTACAAACTTAACATGCCTGCCTGAAAAACTAGTGCATGTTATAAACTTAACATGCCTGCCTGAAACACTGGTGCATGTTACAAACTTCACATGCCTGCCTGAATGGTGATGACCATTCTAATTATTCTGCCATCTAACCAACCGCACACGCCTTGTTTTGTTATTATATTGAGAGAGGGATCGTTGACATTAACACACATTTCATAACTGTATGCCTCAGAAAAAGATGTATGTAACCAGTATCATAGATAATAGATGACAGATAGTTATACAGGGTGCCCCAGAACTCATGAGAATTTTTTGAGGGAGATACAAACTTGTATAAGGCATGGGTGATTTTACTCCAAATTTGGTACACTTATTCAACACACTTTTGGGAATAACTGACATGAATTTCAGGCACATATCTTTTATATTTCCGAATTTATTGACATTTGAATTCTACATTGCCACAAACCCAGGAGTTTACGGGAAAATATAACAGTTTATGTCAAATGTTCTGGGACACCCTGTAGTTAATTGTTAATAAGTATAAATTGTACATACATTTTCTTTTAAATATCACGGGATACCATGTATGTATTTAATGTAATATGTTTGGCTGTGTCAATAAATAAATAAATAACATAGTTTTTAATGTTCACAAAGAGCTATTCAAAGATAAACAATATAAGTGAGATATTAAAGATGATACTTTCTTGAGGTCAGGGTAACACATCGTTGGCTATAAAGTTGACTACTTGACCAACTTGCTTCTTCTCTTAAAAGACAGTTGTATCCATTGAATTTGTGGTTGAATTTAGGGGTTGGCATTTTAGGACACGATACGAATAACAGCACTGGTGTATTTGAATGCAAATATTCTAACTTTAAAAAACCATTGATGTTGATCTTCACCTGACATGCTCAATAGGCTCATTCAACGGGAACCCCTGTGCAGATTGAAATCAATCGAAACTTGTTTTTTCTCTTTTCAATAAGTGCAATAAAGACTAAAGAGGAAAGTTGTGCTTTTTGTGCAATTTGAGCTACATGTATTAGTGCAACGTTTGGCCTAATATCTTTTTCGCCTTGCCACGCCTATTTTCTAAGGTGGTCTAAAGTGCTGCTTATTTTTTCGTGAAGCCGCTCAGTAAAATCACGATTTCTATGCACCCTGATGTCAAATCAACTTCATTCGAGTATCTATGTGTTCCTGACACGTTTGGGCATCCGGTTATGACAACGTCTACCCGATGTCTGTACGCGAAATTGACGTAATTCATGACCGAAAACGGAAAGACAAAAATATGTGATATTCTTTCAGTATTGTTTATAATAACTGTTTACAAAAATGTTCCCGAAACACAAATCCATTTAGGTAAGGTTTGTTTTAAAGTCGAAGAGCCCCAATAAGACAATACAAACCCGGATAAAACCCAGAAGACTGCAGCTTTCATGTAATGATTTACGTTCATGTAAAACATTGGTCTACATGACGTGATAACATTTTCAAACTGAATGTATAGAAAATTTTCAACATAGCTTTTGTTTCCATGTTCTGTATGCCCTTCTACCTGCTTAATAAGGCAATGTATCTTGAAATAAAACCTTAGCCAAGTAGATTAGAGTCTCTGGAACACTTTTGTATATAGTTTTCACAAGCAATTTTGTGTGTGAATCTCAAATTTTGTCTTCCCGATTTTAGTCATGAATTACGTCAATTTTGCGTGCAAACCTTGGGTGGACGTTGTTATTCACTGACGCTCAAACGTGTCAGGAACACATAGATACTTGAATGATCTTGATTGGACATCAGATTGCAGAGAAATCGTAATTTTACTGAGTGGCTTCACGAAAAAATAAAAAGGCTATACGCCTCGTTAAGAAACCTTGAACATCCACTCATAAAAGTATAGGGCAAGATTTTCTTTGGCATTTTTACAAGATTTCATTTCTGATGTTCTTAAATCTGTTGATGAGCCATGTGATAGGAACTCTGCCCGGAACTATATAATATTTCAACTGCACTGCTGGCTTTATATTTTAAAACAATTCACTTTTCTTATAACAGCTTAAAAGAGTTTTGACCAAATAATATTTAATTGGAATAAAACATATAAAACTAAAATGTCCGTACGCGGAGTCAAAATAAGTTTATTTAATGGCATAGGAGTTAATCCAAATATGCGGTTGATACGATAAAACGAAATACCTTCTCTCTTGTGACGACCCCCCTCCCCCACTTCAATAGGTGTGAGAAGGTGTTTACTCAAGTAGAGAGGTGGGTCACATAGGCTTGTAGTTACTTAGCTACTTGCACGGGTGGGTTTTTAACGTATACGTATATATATATTGGGCGAGACTTGAGAATTAATATGCATTGTCACTCAAAAAGATGGTGGTTAATTAAGTTGATGCCATGTTATGCCACAGTTAAGGGTATCTGTGTGTCCTCATTAACCCATGTTAATCCAAAATTATGGCATATTCTATACTTTCTATACTTTCGAACTGCTTTTTTAAATGATACTTTTTTCAGTCTTAGACGATTGGACTCTCTAAAGTCTATACATGTCTATACTTTCTATACTGTCTATACTTTTGATTTTGGTGAATTCCCTATATCTATACTTTCGATACTTTCTATACTTTACATTTTGGTGAAATCCCTATGTCTATACTTTCGATACTTTCTATACATTGTAAAACAATATGTGACGTCATAAGTTTCTTGGTCACTTTCGATTTTGGTGAATTGCCTCAATGTATTGTAAAACAATATGTGATAGAAAGTATAGAAACTATAGACATCTAATTTGTCAAAGACAGTTTTGTGAAAAGCTGATAGAAAGTATAGAAACTGTAGACATCTGAAGACAGTTATGGGGAAAAGCAGATCGAAAGTATAGAAAGTATAGAAACTATAGACATCTGATTTGTCGAAGACAGTTATGGGGAAAAGCAGATAGAAAGTATAGAAACTATAGACATCTGATTTGTCAAAGACAGTTATGGGGAAAAGCAGATCGAAAGTATAGAAAGTATAGAAACTATAGACATCTGATTTGTCGAAGACAGTTATGGGAAAAAGCAGATCGAAAGTATAGAAAGTATAGACATTTGATATGTCGAAGACAGTTCTGGGAAATAGCAGATAGAAAGTATAGAAAGTATAGAAACTATAGGCATCTGATTTGTCTAAGACAGTTATAGGAAAAAGCAGATCGAAAGTATAGAAACTATAGAAACTATAGACATCTGATTTGTAGAAGACAGTTATGGGGAAAAGCAGATCGAAAGTATAGAAAGTATAGAAACTATAGACATCTGCTTTGTCAAAGGCAGTTAGTATGAAAGGGCATTTCGAAAGTATAGAAACTATAGACATCTGATTTGTCAAAGGCAGTTGGTATGAAAAAGCAGTTCGAAAGTATAGAAAGTATAGAAACGTCGAATGTAGATAGTATGAAAAAGGAGATCGAAAGTATAGAAAGTATAGACAATGTATAGAAAGTATAGACATTGCCATAATTCTGGATATACCTCCATTAACCGTACTCATAATCGTATTGCGTTAGGGGTGGGCTAAAATACAAAGATATTCTTGGCTTAAAATAGTAAAACATACTTAACGTTTCAAAATGACTGTTCTAATTGCTTATCTCCGGGGTTTCTTTCTGGTTCAAAACCCAACAGTATTGGTATACGGTACGTTATATGATTGATGCTAGGCAAATTAGCTTTTTAACAAATTGGTAGTTATTTGCGAATATTTTGCTCGCAAAATTTTATGCTTTTTTAACCTTTATTAAAAAAACATAAAAGTGGTAGGTTATACATTGCTTATTACCAAAAAGACCAATGTTAAGAGGAAAGCCCCACCTTGAATATACTCTAGGGTGGCTGTAGAAGCAACTTGCTATCGAGTGTTCCGTTTTTGTATACGTCGCCGATCGTAACTTACGATTTTGTCGCAAGTCATTGTCCATGAAACGGTTTTCTCGGAATCATAAGTAACGATCGTATCAAAAACTTATTAAAGTCTATTTATGTTTTGCGATGTGAAAAACACTCATCGAATTTGATAAACATTTGCGAATTATTGTAATTAAAAAGCAATATGAATCGAAAACTTCCGATTGCAAAACATATAGAATTGAGTGTACAGTAACGTTCTAGAGATGATAGAAGAAGGGGGGGGGATATCCCAGAATTCATAGATGGGCCTATCTCAATGTTGAACCTCTAGATGGTCATCTTTATATGGAGATAGGTTTTGCTATGAATTCTGGGGGTTCTCCTCGTGGATTCGATTGTTTTGGCGATTTGATTTCAAAGATGTTAATTTTCGAATTATTGAAATTCAGAAGCAATATCAATTAAAAACTTCCAATTGATTCCTTATGGGAGAGAGACATGAACATGAACGATATACTTGTTCTAGAGATAATGGAAGCGGGGGATATCCCAGAATTCATAGATGGTAATATTGAACCTCTATACTGTAGGGTCATCTTCATTTGGAGAGAGGTTCTTCTATAAATTCTGGGGGTTCTCATCCTTTTTGTGAATGTATTGGAAACCCGTTACCATGCCAATGTAATCTATATGTTAAGAGAGCAAGGATCGGGTAGAAGTTTGCGCAGGTGAAATTGTATTGACGTTTCTTTCATAATTAATAAGATATTGTTATTAGCATATAATGTAGTTGAATGAGAGTGTATATAATTTAATACCTGAGTAAAATCTGTAAACAGCCACGTCAGGTTTGTTCCTGTGAAAATCATCAACGGAGTCATTAACAACACTTTCTTATCAAACATCATTCCTAAAGTCTTTCTTATACGTTTAGTAATGTAATAATCACTCGCTGTATTTCCCTCTTGTTGTCTAGCACCATTATCACATTCTTCACTTTTATAGTCATACGCCTGCATGAGTCTTTTATGGATTAAAGAACGGGATTCTTCCTCTTCTTGGATCCTGTTAGGAGTATTATCCAAAATACAAATGGCAAGAATGATTGCTAAAAGACCACAGAACAAAAGGAGTGCTACCATAAGGTAAACGGTCTTTTTGTCCTCGTTGTTTTGTGACATTTGGCTGGATTGTAGATATTTCCGTGGACATACTTTCATTCCGCAGTGACGTTTATCGCTCAAGTCGAACTGAACATCTAATCGTGTCAAACAAAGAGTTGATATAAGATTACCAATAACGTGTGAACATTGATAAAAACTATAAAAGACACCGTTGAATTTATTCACGTAAACTTCAACGTCAGTAGCTGTTGCACTTGCGTATTCTTCGGCTAGTTCTGTGATCATTGTTCCGCCAGCCGTCCATATTGGAATGTTCCCCATACCACCGATCAATCCACCGATGATTAGCGCCCATTCCGTGGCGTAGAAATGCACGGCTGTGTAAACGTTACGCAAGGCAATACCCAGCACGATTGCCCATTTGCATCCTAATTTGTCCGTAACAACCGGGGCTACAATGCATGGCAGAATTGACGTAACTGAATAAAACGAACACAATGAGAGCACACCTATTCCTTTAGAAGAATTAATCGTACTTTCTATATCCTGTAAAGATACCAACGCAACGCTGATGAGCATTACAGACGTTGACAAAACTATTACGTTTTTCAAAACACGTCCTTTTTCTCCACAAAACTGTCCCATCTTGTATTACTGGTAATTTTGCCATTCAGATCCTATCACTGCATTCGTATTTATGTATGTATGTATTGTATGTATGTATCATTCCGTGCGTGTTGTTCGTCATATAGTAAATACATATAATCTGGACCGTTGGTTAATTAGCGGTGTGGTGCACAGCGCGATTGGTTTGGCTTATTTCAGTATCACTAATATATATCTTCAACGAAATGAATAATCTCCAACCAACCGTATACGCCGGGATACTCCGACCTCTTACATGTTGAAGCTCTGTTCACGGTGTCCAACCCAAACGCTCTTACATGCACGACGGAGCGTTTCATTACTGAAACTAAACAAAGAAACGCTCCGAAAAAGGAAAACTGGTGGGTGGGAATGATGAGCCGTCTGACGATTTACCCAATAATGGGAATAAGAGGTATGGGTTACTTATTTCGAGTATGCCATTCGATGGGTGTGATATTCATTTTGTACTTGGCTGGCTAGTGGCTATTGACGTTTGAAGCAATTGGGAAGAGCTGTACGAAGCAGTATAGTTATCAAAATTTATAAACGTATTTGTCATTCTACTGGTCAAAACCCCTTTTGTCGAGACATGTGGTTAGTTGAGCCAAGATTAGAGCACCGACATATATTTTGTTCTAATTTCAATACTTCAACACACCACACATTATCGTAATTGTGATTTGATGACCGAAAATATAGTCTTAAAAATGATGACATTCTTATATTCAAGAAACGCTGCGACCTGGTTAACACAGTGAACTGGAAACGCTGCGGTAGTCTAGATCTGTTTAGGAAATCAATAGCTTGACTTTCCTTTTCAGGAAGAGAAAGAAAAGATATATTATACCCATTGGCATCAAAAGAAGAAAGATTAATTCAGATATCAACTTTTTGTTTTTGTCAATAGTTTTATGTTTTAGCGCACATGTAGGCATAACATCATCTAATGTAGGCTTAGGTCGGCTAGTTGCACGTTTAGCACCACCAGGTTGGGACGTTTCAATTTGCCTAACAAGTACAACACGTTTTTGAGTGATAGATTCGATTCCAAACTCTTCTCTAATAATCTGAAAATTATATCAAAACAAAATGGCAAGAGCGTTTCTAAAATTGTGTCCTAAATCGACGAAGCGTTTCGAGGAAAACAAGCGATTTCTCGAGAACAAGTCATGGATTTGAACTGGGATTTTAGAAAATGAGAATTTACAAGTTTGCGATCAACTTCTTTCACAGAAAGATTGACGTTTTCATATAAATACTAGTTTAATTCGTAATTTGTGGTCAATTCGTCAACTTCAGATTCGTTTGATCTACACTACGGAGCTTTGATCAAGCAAATAATAGTTTACCACCTGAAGTTGAATAAATAAGATCTTTCCTCAGGATATTGTTCATCGAATGGTACATAGTATGTCACCATAACGTATGATATGTAAGAGAAACGAGTGAAACAATCATTAGCCGCCATTTTATTTCGCTCCGTCATGCATGTAAGAGCGTTTGGGTTGGACACCGTGCTATTGTTATCGATCAGACTTTAACAATCACTTTGGTTTTCACGTGTGACATGGTCATTTTCATATTTTCCTCCTTCGTTCTTTTTACACTGACCAATCCCCATTTCCTAGTAGTCATCATATAAGCAGGCCGGTCCCTTGGTTACAGTTGTATAAGTTGTATAGGCCATATGTTTAATCCTTTTTGTTTCAACCTGTTTTTAGCTTCCCATGCTGTGCTAGATTTCCTTCTATTGTTTCTCTGTAAGGATATGTCTACTCACACGAGTTTGGTTGTGTAATCGGTAGTTAGATTTTTTGTTTTGTCTTTTAAGGTCTCGAGAAAGTTTCGCTATTTCATGCATTTTTATGATGATAAGGTCATTCTGACCATGACCATTGTGATCCTTGTCATTTAAATGATATATGGGAGTAGTAAAACTGATTGACGGTCAAAGCTGAACTCTGTTATCCTAGTTCAAAAAATTCTAAAATCCTTATGCTTTTTTATTTCCCATTTTCCGATAACTACCCTGACACCTTAAGGTTCAGCTGGAAAGTAACATTTTGGTAAAAAATTGCTATACCTGCACATGTTATTTTCTGTTACAAAATTTAGTATGAAGATATGTGTGTATTTCCTTGCTTTTTTCAGGAAAGTATCATTACACTGTCTACTTTTAGTAAACCTTGAAACAGGTCAATGGTAGCTCCTGTATTGTCTGGAAACTTTGAAAGACAATTTGTGAAAATAAAAAGTGTGAAATATCAGAATTTCCTGGAGTTCCCATTGAACCCCTACCAGATATTCCAAAAGAAGACAATGTAACGATACTTTCCTGAAAAAAGCAAGGAAATTGACACATGCCTTCATACTTTATTTTGAAAAAATAAATTCGCTTCGCTCTCTCGTGCTGACATCAATATCACCTCGTAGATAAAAATATATGTTAATAACAAGCGGAGTATATCATCACAATATCCTCCGCATATATTGGGTTTTCCGGAGTATATCGTCACGATATATATATATATTTTTTTTTCTTTATTTTATTTTTATAATTTTTTTATTTCAAAGAATAAGCATGTTAAAGCAATTGCGAAAAACAATTACAGTACAGTTACATGGTAAACCTACATTTAACAATTTTACAATACAGTATTGGTTAAATATTAGATCTGATTATTAGTCCCGAGCCCGACAAATGTTTTTCACAGAGCGGGATATAATAAATCACAGTTACACTGTCACGTAATTTTATAGGGCTCGCGGGATAGTCGCAATTGCAAACACCTTTATCCCGTATGAGCACTTTGTAGCACTGAGCCTCGGGACAGTCAGTTTCTCAAACTCACTGTCCCGTAATTTTTTTTTTGCAAACGACGGGATATAATTAATTGAGACCTGACATATCCCGGCGCTGGGTAAAAAAATTTGCTGCGGGATAAAGTGATTTCAGAACTTGACTAATGCTGATCAAAGTATATGCTATCAAGCCATCACACATCTCTATGTAATTACCATACTATATTACCCTTGCAAATAATTTCCATTTTTCATCATTGTACTGAATTATATCAACATCAGTCTTTAATCTTTGAAATGTTGCTAAAGTCTATTGGGAGGGGTGGCATGTACACACTTGATTCATAATGCTATTGTTTGTGTGGGGGGAGGGGGCATCTCCACACTTGACTCATATCATGGTCTATAAGAATCACAACTGTCACACATCATCATTCCATCTGGTATCATTTAAGTATCTATGAATATGATTTGTAGTATGTACATAAATCCTTGTGCGCCATCTTGTATCATATATTATGCCTATTGTTGTATATGTCTTTTTATTTTTTAATCAGCTAATATATATGTATATAAATCCTGGTGATGTAATGTTGTCATTTCTCAAGCCATCTCATATCATTTATCATCCTAATTGTTCATCTGTCAACAGCTCCTTCCAGTGAATTAAATAAAAGTTGTTTTTTACGATAAATACAGGTGAAGTATTGCAGCAATTCCACATGCAATCTGTTTTTCCATCTATTCCCTGCTGTTATTCCACCATATTCTATCTATATGTTTTTGACATGCTGATTACCCATGCCATACATCCTGAAATAAGCAAATAAGATTTATTTACCAAATATGAACAAAATCGCTCCACTACTTTTCAATTTATAGTTAAAAAAGTAAAAATGGTCGCCATTTTTCAAAATGGTCGTCTACTACCCAAAGTGTCATTAGACAGTGTGCCATGCTTAAAGTATTCACATATAAAATATGAACAAAATCGCTCTACTACTTTTTGAGTTATAGTAAAAAATGTAAAAATGGTCGCCATTTTTCAAAATGGTCGCCTACTACCCAAAGTGTCATTAGACAGTGTGCCATGCTTATAGTATTCACATACCAAATATGAACAAAATCGCTCCACTACTTTTCAATTTACAGTTATAAAAGTAAAAATGGTAGCCATTTTTCAAAATGGTCGCCTACTACCCAAAGTGTCATTAGACAGTGTGCCATGCTTATAGTATTCACATATAAAAATATGAACAAAATCGCTCTACTACTTTTTGAGTTATAGTAAAAAATGTAAAAATGGTCGCCATTTTTCAAAATGGTCGCCTACTACCCAAAGTGTCATTAGACAGTGTGCCATGCTTATAGTATTCACATACCAAATATGAACAAAATCGCTCCACTACTTTTCAATTTACAGTTATAAAAGTAAAAATGGTAGCCATTTTTCAAAATGGTCGCCTACTACCCAAAGTGTCATTAGACAGTGTGCCATGCTTATAGTATTCACATATAAAAATATGAACAAAATCGCTCTACTACTTTTTGAGTTATAGTAAAAAATGTAAAAATGGTCGCAATTTTTCAAAATGGTCTCCTCCATCAAAAGTGTTATTAGACAGTGTGCCATGCTTATAGTATTCACATACCAAATATGAACAAAATCGCTCCACTCCTTTTCAATTTATAGTTATAAAAGTAAAAATGGTCGCCATTTTTCAAAATGGTCGCCTACTACCCAAAGTGTCATTAGACAGTGTGCCATGCTTATAGTATTCACATACCAAATATGAACAAAATCGCTCCACTACTTTTCAATTTATAGTTATAAAAGTAAAAATGGTCGCCATTTTTCAAAATGGTCGCCTACTACCCAAAGTGTCATTAGACAGTGTGCCATGCTTATAGTATTCACATACCAAATATGAACAAAATCGCTCCACTACTTTTCAATTTATAGTTATAAAAGTAAAAATGGTAGCCATTTTTCAAAATGGTCGCCTACTACCCAAAGTGTCATTAGACAGTGTGCCATGCTTATAGTATTCACATATAAAATATGAACAAAATCGCTCTACTACTTTTTGAGTTATAGTAAAAAATGTAAAAATGGTCGCCATTTTTCAAAATGGTCGCCTACTACCCAAAGTGTCATTAGACAGTGTGCCATGCTTATAGTATTCACATACCAAATATGAACAAAATCGCTCCACTACTTTTCAATTTATAGTTATAAAAGTAAAAATGGTAAAAATTGTTAACAAAAACAGTTATATGAAATATATTTAAGTAATTTTTGCATTAAATTGTTGTCAATCAGTCAACATTACATAAAGGACCGTGTTTTCTACATAAT